GCCACTTGGGGTTGACTGTGGCGCGCTTGGGGGCGCTGCGGACCTTGTGGCCCGGCTGGGTGAACAGCTCCACCTTGGAGTGGGTGCGTGTGTGTGTGTGTGTGTGTGTGTGTGTGTGTGTGTAGTGTATGGATGTGAGTATGTGTGTGTGTGCGTGTGGATGTGTGGGTGTGTTGTGTATGTGTGTGTGCTGTGTGCTGTGTGCTGTGTGTGTGTGTATGTGTGTGTGTGTGAGGGGGGGAGGGTTGATGAAGGTTGACGCCGTTGGATGGTGTGGGAGGTTGGTGGGTTAGGCTAGAAATGTGGATACGGGATGAGGGGTTGGTGGGTTGGTGGGTCAGGAGGTCTGGGTTGGCTGTTGGCTGGACCGGACATCCTTGAAAACACTGCAAGCGAAATCGCATCGTTGACAAGCAAGCAAGCCGTTTGGTTGGAGCGCGGCTGAGGGGCGGGCGGCAGGCTGGCTGCGCCGAGCCCCACTCCCCCCCCCAAAAAAACGCTTCACAGTCGAGAGCGCGACGCCCAAATCGAGAGCCTCGCGGCGCGTCGTGGTGCGACGCGGCGGGGCGGGGCGCGGCGCACCTGGGGGTCTGTGGACGAGAGCCAGCCGCCGCTGTGCAGCAGGCCTCGCGCCTGCAGGACTTCCACCTGTCAGGTGGGTGGGTGGAGTGGGGATGGGGGCACGGGACGCTGTTTTTTTCTAGAACGGGTGGGTGGGCGGCGAGCTGTTGCAAGGGGCAGGGGAGCTGTTGGTGGAGGAAAGGAATCGGCGGCAGCAGGAGAGGTCAGAGGGGCCGACAGCAAACCCTGCCTATCCGATGCGATCCCTGGTCCGTAGGGGCGACGCCGGCCTCCAGAGTGGCGCAGTGGGCCTTTGGTGGCCGGATGGTTGAAGACGCATGCGCATGCCTGGACAGCTGACAAAGCAGCGACATTCTCCATGCCCAGCCCCTCAGGCACGCATGCACACGCACACTCATATACATGTGTGCACACACAAATGCGCGTGCACAAACACACACACACACACACACACACACACACACACACACGCACGCGTGCACGCACGCACGCGCGCATACACACTCATGCAAACACGCGTACTCGTGACACACTCAAAACACACAAGGCATCCATACACAATCTCTGCCGCCCACGCATGTCACCTGCAGCACCCCGACGCTCCGCAGATTGAGCGCATCCAGCGGCCCCGTGACCTCCTTGGGCAAGAGGGGCACCACAAACCTTCAGGGGTGCCACGTGAGCAGTGGGCAGGAATTTCAGGGGCTATCAACAAGACACATGATAGTGTTGATGGGGCTTTTCCCATTGATGGAGGAAGTTGGCGCTTAACGCAGGGCCGTGCGAAAGGGATAGTGGTGCCCGCAGCTGGAGCTGGGGTCTATCCCTCTGAGTGTGTGTGTGTTTGTGTGTGCACTCTGGACAGGTGGACAAGGCCGCCTTTCAGCCGAGTGGGCCAGCCGTCTGATGTCACAGGCTTCTGTTGAGTTCCGCCCCACACGAGACACTGACAACATGGCATTGCGTCCGCGCGGTGCGCTCGGAGGAGGCGCCTCCTGCGCCCAACAGCGACGTGAGCCTGGCGTGGGCACCTCAACCCGATCATCCACTCCATCATCGCTAGGACGCCGCCCCGAGAAGATTCCCGCAGTATGTATGAGATGTTCAATGTGAACTTCCTACCTCTGGGGCCAGACCACCATGTTGGCCATCGTGTCGCGCAGGAAGGGGTCCAGGAACCCGGCCACAGGCTTTGCCGTAAACTTCCCACCAAGAACAGGCCCAAAGTCCAGCACGAACTTGACCTGCAGGTTGTTGGAAGCATGAGTGTGCAGACTCGCGAGCGTTGCGATTGGCCAAGGGGGGTGGGGGGCAGCCATGAAGCGGGGGTGCAGCACATACACACACACACACACACACACACACGCACGCACACACGCACACGCACACGCGCACACGCACACACGCACACGCACACACACACGCACACACACACACACACACATGCATCCACACACGCACATGCTCTCCAGCAACCGACAGATTATATTCAAGCCAGCCGCGCACCTGGGGCGTCCGCACGAGGGAAATCATAAGCGCCCCAAAGCCGGGCAGCGTCGGAACCAGCGGCGCCAGCGCCAGCCGCAGGGTGCCCCTGACCGTCAGGTTCGACACCCGCGGCACGAGGCGCGTGTACGGCCTGGGGGTTGGGAGTCGAAATGGTTTCGATGCGCATCATAGGTTGATGATTCGGAGGGGTGGCAGGGGTCAAGAAGGGGTAGAGAGCGACCTGACAAGTCGCGGCCGCCGGCGGCGCAGCAAAGTGGAAACCGCACAACGCGCATGCCGAAACTCCTGGGCCAAAGCCAGCCCTCTCATCGCATGCGCGGCCCGTTGACGGTGCCGCGTCGATCAAGCGAAGGCAATTTTGCGTCGCGACTGCACCACCACGACCTCCTCGTATCCCATCTTATCTTTGTCGCGCCTCACCCCATGAACGCCAGCTCCACAAAAAAGGCCACGTTGGGCTGCCCCACCCAACGGAAGTCCACTGGTCACATAAGAGATGATACAAGATTGGGAATACAGTCAGCAGATTGAGGGGGTTGCGGGGGGTGGACGTGATTGACCAGGGGTGCTGTTTGGGCTGCTGCAGCCGCTGTCCACAGGGCTCACTTCATGAGCCGAGTCGCCGCTGATCCGCTCCTCGTAAATCAGCTTGAAAACTCACAAAATCTCCACAAATACACAAGACATTTGGAATTCCCAACGGCTGCTGGTGAAGAAAGGTTGCTCGAGCGCTGGGCCCTCAACCACACGGCGCCACTCCCCCTACCCCCGCCCCCACACATACCCGCCAGCCAGCCCGGCAGGGAGATCACCCGGATCTCTCCCCCACCTCCCCACCTTCCATCTCGATCCTCTCGGGCAGCTCCATCGCCATCTCTGCCTCGTAATCCTCATGCTTCCCTGACCCTGCCCCCTCCGCACCCCCCTCCGCGCCACCTCTCGAACTTCCGTCCCCGGCGCCGGCGCCGGCGTCGCCATCGGCCGCGTTGCCGCAGGCGGCGAGGACCTGCCCAGTCGTGGCGAGCTTCACGTTCGTCCCCCACCCGACGCCGTCCGCCGTGTACGCCACCGATTTCGCCTCCTC